AGGCTCTTGGAGTTCATCCAACTCCAGTCCCACCATTTTCAACAACCATCTTCAAGTATACCCCCTGGTCAGAAGTCTTTCCGACGCTTCCCAAGAAGCCATTCTCAACAGTCTCGCACCTAGTACGCTTTCAGCATACTTAACCGGATGGAATTGCTTCAAAGCTTATCACACCTACTATCAGCTTCATTTTCCATCAACAGATGTTCCATCCATCTGCAACTTCATCACTCATGCTCATTCCCTCCAAAAAAATTGTACCTGCTCCATCCAAACCTACCTATCAGGAATCAACTTCTTCTACAAAATAATAACCAGCAATAACTGTCAGTCCATCTCCCATTCTCATACTTCTATGCTCATCAAAGTTCTGCGAAAACAAGAACCTTCTTCTATCAACAAACGGCTTCCGCTCACTACTAACCTACTTAGCGTCTGCATCTTATCGCAACGCTCAGGCTATCTAAATCCCGTCATCGAGCAAACCTTAGAGTCCATGTTCCTGCTCGCATTCTTCGGCTTTCTAAGATGCTCTGAATTAGCTCCAACTTCATCCACCTTCAATCCATCCATCCTTGAATATCTTACATCACACTCACCGGAAGCACACATATATATGCTTCGGAGAAATAAAACGGACCAATTAGGAGCATCGTTCCCAATCTGCATCTTCCGTCTCAATTCCTTTCTCAGCCTGTTCGAACCCATTTCCGAGTATGTTCGAATCATCTCCCCAAGAGCCGCTTTTCATCACGGAAACCGGGAAAGTGGCCAATAGGTTCTGGTTAAGCAAACATTTCAACCAAATTCTCAGTATCTCCGGTATATCTCCAGAACACTATTCAATACATTCTTTCCGCATTGGAGCAGCGACCTCAGCCGCCAGACAGGGTATCTCAGACGAAACTATCAGAATACTTGGACGCTGGTCATCGCAAGCATACCGATCTTACATTCACAACAATCTCAACGACATCCACCAAGCCTAAGCTAACCTCAGCTTTCTCCAATCTTAGGGGGTTCTAATCACTCAGCTGCACATTACAGAGACAACTCCCCCATCCTATGTCTCTCCAGGCCACCAACGGGCGCCCAGATCTCTTCCCTTCATCCCTCCTACTCTTCCCCTTCCATCCTTACTTTATACAATAAAGATTACTTCCTGACACTTGCAGTGTGGCGTGGTCCTTGCTAGTGAATATTTATTATGTAATAGGCTTTGTACTTCACTCGCATCGACATCATCCTTCACATCGGCTATATCAGCACAGTGAGGCGGTGGTCACCATGAACGCAACAGATTGTACAATGGAGCGGTGCAACTTTTTATGTTTCTTTAACTGTATTTTATTTTGATAATGGACAGGCTGCAATGTCGCAAAATATGTTGTGTCTGTGTGCGTGTGAAGCCGGCGTGATAAAGTCATACCAACGCTGGTTGGTTTTACAGATAGAAGCAAAACATCATTCAAAAGTGTAAAGATTTGCAAAATAAATATAACTGTAAAGCTTTTGCAAAATAAAGAAAACTATTTTCTGCTGTCTCGTTTTCCTTTCCATGAACTTTGGATCGCGTCACAATAAACCTAAACTTTTCTTTCTTTCGTTTTGTTAATCTATCAATGATTTAAGTGAAATACATTTTGTGTAGGCCAGTATAGGCTATTCCTTTTTATGTAAGCCTACAGTTTTATTCTGTTTTCTCCGTTCACAAGCGCTGCAGGTGCGCGTGTTCTGTTGAATCCATCTTACACTATCCTCGGATAAACTCTAATGCGTTGCCATTGCGACTTACCTATAATGAATTTACAGCTGAGCGTGGGCATTTCACACGTTGGATGCGTCAGTGTCACATTTGCATATCTGAATTCCTGATTGGTTGACAGCAAATTTCAAATATTAAATGGAACGATAACAAAACATTATTAACTGTTAATGGCCATTTCCAATTTTTGATTCTGTTCGGAACTGTAAAATTTAATTTAATTTCTGTTTCTGATTCCGTTCCTGTCAAAATTTAGTTTGTTTCTTGTTTTCATTTTCATTCCTTGAACTGGTTCAGAGCCCTGCGTTCCAATTCAACCCATTTCAAGGGTTCCGCCAGTAGTGGGTACTCATGCAACGTAATCAATGACATACATCCGAGTAAACGCGACGAAGGGAAGTTAGCGAGTGAAGGGCATAAAAAATGGATGGGAACGCAGCCTGAGTTTAGCGCATGTGCCATGACTATGAAAAGCCATGATCAATGGAGCTCCGAAATTATGATTCACCATGGCAACAGCACCCAACAAAAAGACGTCCACACTCCGCATACTTAATGCGGTTGTCAAATGTGGTTGTCACTTCTGTATTTTAGTGAATTATGTGTGTACAGAACGCAATTAAGGAGTAAAAGGTTAACAGACAACCAAATTTAGCAGCAGTGTGTATGTGGCCATAGTTTATATAATGTGATCAATGTTTGAGTAAATAGATGTGTTGGGGAATTTGGATATTAACACGTAACATTTTAATTATATTCTGCTGAAATGAACGAAATGATTTGAAAAAGGATTTGTTCATTGTGCTGAACGAGATTCAAAGGTCCGAGTCAGTAAAATGATCCGAACTTCCCATCACTACTGCATACAGCGGCCTTAATAATGTGCTCTGCATCCCTGATGTTATATAGAAAACTGCCATTTAAAAATAGTACCGCACAAATAAATATGTGGATATGGCAAAAAAAATTGAAATACTCATCTCCCGATGTAAATGTAACTCCCTACGTATTAATGTAGCCTCTTCATCTACAGGATTCTGGATAAGAGAACATGCCATTTTTGTCACTTTCACAGTGTCTACATGATGAAAATGTGTGCAATGAATGAATGTACCTGCACTGTAATTTTTTTTGTTCTTATTTAGTATTTTTGTCTTGTTGATTCCAGTCAAAATATCTAAAGATTATTAAATCAAGATGTATTTTCTAAGAAAAATTACATGAGGTATTTAGTCTTTTAAGTGTATTTTTCTTATTTTGCAAATTTTCCTAATTTCAGGGATAACATAGTCAGAATTTTCACTTGACCTCCTTTCTGAAATGGGCCTCTGATCTCTTCTGGAAGCTGGTTCCAACTGCGGATGGCATAATGGCTAAAAGCAGACGTCCTTTGTTTTGTGTGAACCCTTGCTATTTTTAACTGACTTGATCCTAATGATCTGAGTGGTCTGTTAGGTTTATATTCAGTGAGCATATCTGCAATGTATTGAGTGTCACACATCACACGTCACACCCACATCGACTTTGTTTTCCTTTTTGCACGTTTCCCTTTGTTGGGTTGCTTATGTCATTTGGTTCAGGTGTGTCTCATCAATTATCCTCATTTGGCCTGTGTATTTAAGTTCCTGTCTGTTCAGTTAAGTTTGTTCGGTGTTGCATCAACCACATTTATGTCTGGGACTAGTCGTTTGGCGATTAGGTCTGAGTATCATCTGCATAGCTGTGATAGGTAATTTGGTTTCTTCTCATTATTTGACTCAGTGGAAGCATACACATGCTGATTTATGCCGAGTTCACACTGCACGATTTTAGCCCGATTTTTCACTCGCTACAGGTTTTGCGAAATCTCCGACAAACGCCCGAAATCAGAGGTAAATCGGTGCTCGTTCAAATGAGTGACAAAGACGCGATCTGAGGGAATCGCCGACACATCGCCGACGCCCATGAAATATTTGGCATGCTAAATATCTGGAGCTGTCGGCGATTCACAATCACACTGTGTGAAATAAGTTCTGACTGAAAAACACATCGGCGATGACCTACAGCCTATGAGAGACTAAGATACAGGGCAGCGGGAAGTTCAGGGAGGAGTTATATGAAACGTAGTTTGCGGACCAGTGTTGCCAAATTCGCGATTGCCGCTGGTAGTTTTTTATGTCAGCAGGTTGAAGCGACCCCAATAATGTGATATTTAGGCCCTGGAATGTGAATTGTACCAGGAGAACCCCGCCAAAATAATTTATATTTTACCCCCCGAATGCGATTTTTACTAAGGGACTCCTTCGAAAGCAATTGGGCTAGTTTTGAGTAGTAATTGGGCGGGTTTTGTAGCGAAAACCTGGCAACCCTGCACCAGACAGAGCTGTCGGCGATTCTTCCTATTGTAAAGTCATGCAGTGTTTAACCTCCTTTAACTGAATGCTACCCCAGATAGTCGTTCAGTGTGAAACCAACAGCGATGCGACATCTTTGAAAATTGTGCAGTGTGAACTCGGCATAAGAGTGGCCCCAGAATTGAGCCTTGAGGGACTCCGCATGTCATGGACGTCCATTTAGACTTATGGTCACCTTTACTCCCATAATAACCTCTCCCTTCTAAGTATGACCTGAACTATTTGAGGACCATCCCAGAAAGCCTAAACCAGTTTTCCAGTCTCTCTAAATGTATGTTATGATCAACAGTGTCAAATGCAGCGCTGAAATCTAGTAGTAACAGCACTGATATTTTGCTAGAATCAGTATTTAATCAAATATAATTTATTATCTTTATGAGCGCTGTCTCTATGCTGTGATGCGTTTGGAAACCAGATTGAAACTTGTCCAGGTATCCATTTGAGTTTAATATGTTGGTCAGTTGTTCATTTATAAAGAATACTAAAGAGAACTCAAATTCAAAACAAGCAAAACACTTAAAGAGACAGAACTTCACAGTCTGATGTCAAATTGATTGATGAGAATATCTTAATGTGTTGTATATTGTGAACCTCAGTGGTTTAAAGTGATTATCTGGGCAGCAGTGAATCAATCAGTGAATCAACCCTCATATCAGTTCACAAGTCCCGTGACGTCATTGTGTGTGTTGATGTTAAACGATGGAGAATATCCACCATCGGTTCTCATTGATGAGCTTTAAAACAAAGAAAAACACTAAGTTGAAACTCTAGACATGCTTCAGTGATTTGCATTGTGTTGAATGAATGGAAATGCTGCATATCTGTGTTTCATCTGCTTTTAGTGCTGATGTCCCTCATCCATGCTGGACTCACTCAAGGTACTGTGCCACACTGCAGTATATTTGATTATTAAATAAATGTGAATTGTGTTATTGTTTATATGTCTACATAAATTACACCAGGATCCCACATTTGTCTCTTTGCTGATAATTTATGTCTATATTTTGCTGTCATTCCCCTTCACCCAGTGTAATTTGTCTTTGTAGTTCCTCATGCTGCTAAAACACTGTAATTTCTACAGTTTGATTAAAGTTAAATTGAAAATAAATAAATAAAAAAAGTTGTAGTTTGTTGCAAAAATTTACACTGTAATTAATGACCATGTGCAATCTACAGGTGCATCTGAATAAATTAGAATGTCATGGAAAAGTTCATTTATTTCAGTAATTAAACTCAAATTGTGAAATTCGTGTATTAAATAAATTCAATGCACACAGACTGAAGTAGTTTAAGTCTTTGGTTATTTTAATTGTGACGATTTTGGCTCACATTTAACAAAAACCCACCAATTCACTATCTCAGCAAATAAGAGAACTTCATAAACTTTTCTTATACTCTTCTGTATCAGCCACAACTTTCATCTGCAGAGGACTGAAACAATTAACTTTTTAAGACCTGTTCACATCAAGAAAATAACAATAAGAAAACATATCTGTATTAGTGTCCACACCGATGAATAATTATGTTCTGTTTAATATGAGTATATGCTGTAGTTTAATCATCTGCCACTTTAAATGTTTTGCACTTTAAAGCAGGATGGATTCTGATTCGTTGTGTTTTTTTTTTTTCCACCAGCTCTTCATCATTATTTTTTATTTTAAAATGTATTTTCATTTTGTATTTTCATAATTTAATTATTAGCTTTTATCAGCTCACAAACCCCCTGCAAGTTCCCTCATGATCCCCAGTTTGGGAAACTTGTCTCTCCCTTTGAAGAATCAGTCAAGACACAGAGATGCCAAATTTAAACTTTATTGGTGGAGACAACAAAGCCAAAATGCCTGCAGGACATCTGACTCTCTCACTTGCAGTTTATACTTTTATACGATTGGTTTAAAAAGAGATCATTGTTCTCAGTTATCTAATTTGCAGGTGTTCGCCTCTTTTTCTACATGGTCATCTCTCTTGTTCTCTTTGTAAGGGTGGCAGACTGGATTATTCAGTGTGTTTGCTTTATTATTTTTATCTAAAGACCATGTTTAAAGGCCATGTGGCATAAAAGAGCCCTTGGTATCCGTGCGGATGCAAGCTCAGTGGAAATGAGACATACAGTGTTAAATCACAGACTCCTAAAATCACTGCTTCATCCAGGCTATTCTACAAACATATCACAAATGTCTGATAAAAATGAGGTGACTTACAGTGATGTTAAATGAGTTTGTGAAGTCTTCAGATAGTCTGTTGAAGTTGATTGAGATTCAGTTGCTCCTCATATGAGGTTGTAGTTGGAGGTCTTCAGCTCTTCTTCAGCAGGAGCTTCATTCTGCTTTCTATGGCGAGTCAGAGGCGTTTGTCTGAGGACGTGACGGAGCCAGAGCCTCCAGAAAACACAGAGATCAGAGAACTAATGACAGGACAAAACAAATGTTATAAAATATG